GGAAACTGAGAAGATGGTCTTTATTGAACTAACAGTGTACCCAGGCGGCAGGTTAGGGTCCAAGGGAGGGGTGGGAAAGGTGGGGAATTGCATTTTTGGACCTGTTGTGTTAGAAGAGGCTTTGGACAACCACTTGGATATGTTCTGAGTCTTGGGAGAGAAATCTGGGCTAGAAATAAAGATTTGTGATTCATCAGCTCCTAATTAGTCGCAATGACTCCTCTGGTAATTGAAACCTTTGAAGTGGCGGAAGTAACTCAAGGAGAGTATATAATGAGAAGTGAAGGTTGGTGAGGAACCACTGGGAACTCCAGCACTTAAAGTAGTGGGCAAAGGGCCTCTAGCAGGAGGCTGAGAGCAGAGGTTGGCGGTGGGGGACACAAGGACAGTGAGAGGTCACCCGTAGCACTGATGGCTTCCTGCTGCTTTGCCATCCAGAGGACATAACTGAACTCACCCGGGAGTGAGTGACCTAGCCAGAGCTGTTGCTAGTGCTGCAGTCTCCCCCACAACCTGTCTGTGTAGTTGAACGGGTGAGGAGAGAGAGCTGTGAGGTCACCTGTTACCGCTCAGTGGTGAGCATACACTTCATGGTCTGAGTGCAGAAGCTGCAATAGAAAGTTTTTTGGTTTTTTCTTTTTTGCTCACTGATAAACCGTTTGTCTCCTCTGTTAAACAGAGGTGATGATTCTCCCAGAGCAGGAGTATGAAAACTTAAGTGAACGTAGATAGTTGTGTAGTGCTGAGCCTAACACACACATACTCAGGGGGTGAGACTTGTTTCTCTGCAGTGCAAGGGATTAAACCCAAGGCCCCACACTTGGCTAGGTAAGCACTGAGCTGTATTCTTAGCTCTTTTTCTTATTAGAGAACTTGTGCCTTGTAGCATTAAACTGTGTTGTTTTGGAACTCAAGTTTTTTATAATGCAGATTTCCATGAAGGGAAAAATTTAATTATTGATTGAATTGTGCTGTTAGAATTAGGTTCATGACAAATAGAAACATTGTTCAGATAAACTTGCAAACAAAACAAAGCCAAAAATTGTACTTGTTATCCCCTTGTCGAATGTGGCTTTCTGTTTCAAATTAATTAGATTTTTGGATAAGTATGCTAAACTTTGTCACATCCTTATTAAAATTGTTTAAGGGTTTCGAGGAATATCTCAGAGGGACTCTGAAACTAATCTAAGTCTGGTGCTGGGGATTCCATTAGCAATTGTGAAACTGATTAATCTTTTACCGAGTTAGCTTATTGATTATTGCTGCAATTACTGCATGTAACAGATTATGCAGTGGATCGTAGCAGAAGACACGTAGCTGCTGCTCCTGTTTTCAATTTAAGTGCAGTATTCTGTGCTTTACATACATAAATGCTTCTGTGTTTTTAAATGCTTGAACACTGAAAGAGATACTGTGTTCAATATTGTTTCAATATTAGACATTTTTTAAAAAAAAACTTCACAAATAACACTGAATGACAGTTTACGGAGTACCTGCACTAGTTCTGCTGCTGCACTTTAGTTTTTGAGCCTCATGATGACCCTGTGTAATAGAGTAAATAATCTTACTCTCATTTGGAGGAAACTAATGTTCATTAAGGTTAAATGACTTCCTGAAGGCTAAATGAGTTAATGAGTAGCGGAATCAAGATTCAGCCACATTTCAATCAATAAATATTTGTCAAACATCAAGCATGTGTAAAGTTTTGTATTATAGGAAATAAAAGTTGAGGAAATAAACCTTAAGGTGAAGAAGTTCTTTGGGTAACTTCAAGTTATGGCCATATTATTGCCGATGGTAGTTGGTTACTTTTCTGTTCAAACCATGTTAAGTATTTTAGAATATAAAGTATAGGGTTTATTTTTGTTGTTGTTGATAATCAGTTTATTTTTGGCTTGGAGTCTTGCCTTTGGCTTTACTATTTTATTACTAGTTATACCTTGAAACTCCACCATTTTTAAACTCATCAAATTTGGTACTTCCCATTTTAATGTGAAAATTTTGTCCCAGGACTCCTCATTTGCATGATGTCTGACACTCATGCTAAAACTTGTCAGTGTCTGTTGCCTTGTGACTCACTGTGTTTTTCAGCCAAAACAATTTGTTTGGTATCCATTGTTTTTGGTACTTGCCTCCCATGACCTGCCAGTGTCCACTGAGGCACCACTGTATTTCGAATCAAATGAGACAGAATCCCTTTAGAGGAAGAATATATTAAAGGCATATGGCCTGAAGAGAGGCCCAAGAACTGAAAACAGCTTACCCTGCGGATTGCGAATTGTCCTGTCTGTTTTCTGATGAGTCTCGCAGCTGTCCTCCAGGCAGACCCCACCTCATCGAAGCTGGGCACAGTGAGGTGCGCAGGCACCGCCTCTAGGATGAGTGCCAGGGCACAGCTCGTGCTGACACTCCAAGTTTCTTACTCATTTTGCTGGACAGCACAGGCCTGGGGGCCCCGCAGCCCGCCACATGTGTATCTTCCAGACACCATGGCCAGAGCTTGGGGGCCACCCAGCCCTCAAAGTCAGCGTGGTCCTCAGAGGTTCTCAGAAGCCCAGTGATCCCACACTGCGGTTTTGGTTACTGCATGTGTGACGTGGCCTTGATAGTGAATTGTTTTGTTCTAGAACGCAAGGTTCTCTCTTTATAAGAATAGAGATCAAACGGAGTATATCAGCAGGAGAAAGCACACTTGAATTTATAAGACTCCAAAACAGGAAAAGCAGAACCTGATTATTTTAGAGAAGCTGGTGAAGGAACATATCAAATAGTATCATGAGTGTGTTGATCATAGTACAAAGAGATCTGTATAGACTGTGCAGAAATTCTTACAGTGATTACAAAAGTATATATAGTTTGCCAGTTGACTGGCCCAGACCTACAATGAAAGGGAGACCATTTTTATTTATTTTTTAAGGTAAATAAATAAAGCTTGAAAACAGGTCAATTTCATGCATGCAAGGTTTTATAGTAGGAAAAAAATATATTACACCTCTACTGACCCTTTACATCTGAGGTTATTTGTTTTCAAACTTGACCTCAAGCATCAGTTTCAGACAACTCTATAATTAATTTGTTAGAGCATAGGGATATTCTGTTTTGATTTCTGGGATGATGGCAAAATAGTAAGTGAAATTACTAACCTATTGTACATAGTAATTAATTAAAGAAAAGTATTAACTATAAGAGAACACCGCCACCACTGTTGTCTCGTATCAGTATAAAAAGGCAGTAATTTTTTTGACAGCCACTGATTGGAAAGTTGCTTGCAGCCTTCCAGAAGCAAGGGGGTACACGCTGTGGATCAATAACCGGCAAATTTCCCATTAAAAAGAATACCTGAGCAATGTTCCAAATAGCCACTGGCATCTTAATTTTCCACGGAAACCTCAAATACTTGTGTGCTGAGGACAAGTCATTTTCGGACAATTTTTCCAGACTACTTGTTAACAGTTATTGCTGTCCCAAAAGGTTGGCAGCCTACATGATTGATATTTCATTTACTTGTCATTGCTGTTTGAGTAATGGCGAGTGCTGTATTTCTGTGGCTTTGAGATACCAAATCTGCAAAATGTGGCCTTGTATGTTCTCCACAGTGCGTTTCCCATGTGTATGTAAGTTGTTAGGTCCACAGAAGATCGTTTTCCTGTGCAGTTTGAAACCTTTTGGTGAGCAAGTGCACTTGTATTTGTCCATTGCTACCAAAATTCACCTTTACCCTATTTTATTAGGGCATAAACCTTTAGAATTACTAACTTGTGATTCCTAAGATAATGTGGAGTTTTATAGCTACCTTTCATTTCTGAGGAAAACCTACTTTGATCTTATAATAATTTTAATGTACATTAAAGCAGTAGGAAAGTATGTATATCTTCCAAAAAGACACATTTTTTAAAATATCAGAAAATGATAATCCAGGAGGAATTGTCTTAAAATTTGGTAGGTAAATAATAATGTGTTTTAATATAGAAAAAACAAAGATGAAAGAGCCCTTTTTTATGGTGGTTGTGGTAGTACGAGGGATTGAGTGAACCCGGGGCCTTTACACTGACCTACATCCCCAGACCTTTGCAAGTATTTCTTAAATTTTGAGACCTGGACTTGTAATCCCTCCGCCTCAGCCTCCTGGAGTGCTGAGATTGTAGGCATGAGCCACAGTGCCTGGCTAGGAGTCCTGCACTTTGACAGTCCCTCACAATACAAAACCAGCAGCATTTGTGGTTGATTTTTTCCACTAAGAGCATCATTTTGTTGTTTGCTTAGCACTGAAAGAAGTGAATCCAGACCACCTCCAGATGAAGTGGGCCTGTGCTCATCAGTTTGGCTATTAAGGAAAACGGCTGTCAGACCACAAAACACCTACTTCATATTTGTGTTTGTGAGGGACAATGAGAGCTTTTTTACTGAGAACTTTATTTACCATGCCCAGAATTTTACAGCGAAATGTGATCCATTCTGAAGGGTTTATAAGGCGAAAGAGCTATGTTTGCTTGAAACAAGACTGCCCTTTTGTCCTAGTAACTGTGTTGACGCTTTCCCATCTCTGTGACTTGGACTTTGCTGGCCGCACTTCATGCACACATGTGCGTGGTGTTTCTCTGACTGGCGCACAGGTCTGAATCAAATGGGAAGCTTCTCATTTGGCTTTGTAAAACTCAGAGCAGGACAGGAGGTGATGTGAGCAATTTCCACTAAAACTCTTCTTGTGGCGTTTTAAATATATTCCCTTTAAAATGTTTCTTGAATACTAATATGTAGTGTTAATCAGTATTTTTATTCTTAAAGCTGAGTGGCTGGTGTGGAGGATAACACTATACCAGGCTTCTGATCTCGAGTAATTCACTGTAGTCGTTTTGATGTGCCGATAAGGGAACAGTATTCTCAAGGCTGATATGTGTATACCAGCAATTTGCAAAAGTGCTATGAATTAAACAACCCATAAGTGTCTGTTCCAGTATTCATACATTACTGAGTAATCTTTTTCCATAATCTCTTTGCAGTATTATTCCACAGTAATGGAACAGCAAGTAAATGGACAGTTAATAGAGCCTCTGCAGATATTTCCAAGAGGTAATGTTGAACAAATTCTAATCAACAATGATTATTTCAGTAAAGTGTTTCATCAACAGTTATGTTTTCCAAAGGTTTAAATGCACATAACGTGATGTTTAGCTCTTAATTTGAAAAAAAGAAAAGTATTCATTATTGTGGGGATTGCAGGCTATATTATAGTTATAGCAGATAAAATATCTAATTTACTAGAGTAAATTAAACTAACTAGATGGTTTTTTGTTTTTGAAGTACACACTTACATTCGCTTAAAGAACTCTTTGGGGGTCCCCATAGTTTCTAAAGCAAGGCAAATGAATGATTTTAATTCTGGATATTTATAAATTGTGACTCATGATCGTCACCAGAGCTGCTATGGAGGAGAAAGCTTTTGGCTCGCTGTATATAAGCAACAGTGTACAGAGGGGGCTTAGGAAAGAAACTTGGGTAGAACGCTGGGTACTTGGTTTTGGTGGGAGGTACTTTCTAAATAATGGAAAAATCTTCTTAAACAGAAATTAAATTGTTAACTTTCTAAAAATATATACTGATGAGGGTAAGTCTCAGTGAGTCACCTGTCAGGTAATTTTCTTCTACCCCATTTGGTCTGGCAGTACCAGCCTTATATCAGATGTGATTGCTCAACTGTGTATAAATGTTCCTTAAAATTTGAATAATGGTGAAAAGAAATAGTTTAATTATATAAGCCATTAAGATTAAGTCTTCCACCCATTATATATTGCCCCACTTGGAATCTATGTTTTCTAACTACTGGAACAGATAAGGAAATTCTCTAAGTAACTCTTCTAGAAATAACTTAATTGAAATAATTAAAAGTTAAACTTACCTTCGTTAACTAATACTGTACAAATAATCATGGTATGAGTTTTCCAATTAAACATTCTAGACTTTCATTACCTGTAACTATGAAGTTTGAATGGCTCAATTAACCAGTAGGCTCCTGTCTGCGGTGACAGTCTCCAAAGACAGCTGGCTTGGCCAGCCCATGAGCAACTCTGGGTTCAAGAGCAATCCTGCTATTCTGTGTAGGTGGCAGAGAGAGGAGCGCTTATCACGCTATTAATAACCTATTAAAATGCTGAGGAAGTAAATGAAATTGGGTCACTTAAGGCCAATTATCACCCAAACCAAGGATTATAATTAGTTCAGTTCTATTGTACTTGAAGGCTACACAGCCACACAGGGAAAGAGAGTGAGCACGAGAGAGAGAAATGTCGCTGTTTCTGTGTTTCAGGACACTAACAGGGATGCAGATGTTTTCTTCATGTGCTCAGAAAATGGGGAATTTGAGCAAGTTTCAAAAATCATTTCTCTACAAGGAATAGTTTTTTTATAAGCTGAAAATTTCCATTTATTGCTTCACGGCTCTGGGTAGCAAACCCAAGTACAGCGTGCTGGAGAATTATTATTCTAATACGATGGTGCTTCATTTTTCTTTTTAGTAAAATATTTCCTTTTTTTGACCTGATAGTGTCTCAAATTTGGTTTGCTTTCTTTCGTGTTGTGATTAGTCCTGTCAGTGTCGCTGTGTATCACTGTGCCCGCCCCTGTGGTGGTAACAGCCAGCTGTAGACATGGCTCAGTAGAGGCACTGAGGCTGCCCTGGGTGCCATTTTTCTGTTTCTTTCAACATTGTCACCAAGGCTGTATTAGGTATTGTTTTCTCTATTGTGTGGATGAGACTGTTGAAGTTCAGAGGTTAAATCACTTCTGGGTCACGCAGCATGTAAGTGACTGCTATATACCCTTTGAGTAAGAATTTTATTTAAATTATAATTTGCTTAAAGTGGAAAGGCATGTAAGTTAAAACATCACTGCAGTGTGCCTGAGAGCAGCTTGAAGCCCCGTCTCTCCGTCTCAGGTTCTTTGTGCTATAATCCAGCTCTTTTTGGGTTGTGCTATTTTCTGCTTCTTTTAACCTCACTACATCTAATATATGATAAGTGAGATTATGAAAGATACAGAATTTGAATATACACCCATTGAGCATAACTGGCTGGGTCTGCCCGTGCTTATAGGTTTTCAAACCTTAGATTCTGTGTCAGGCCCCATGTTAGAAAGAATCGTTAGACTGAATAAGTTGGATGCAAAGGAGAAAATGAGTCTGTTCCAGTGACATGTTTTCCTCCTTCCCAGTAGCATAGTCACATGAGATCGTAGGCTCATAGCTAAGTCTTTGTGTATTTAAAAGATGTGTTAAGTATTGAGAAATATGTATATTTAAAAGCCTTATAGTAACTTCTGCCTCATAACTTTAGGATATATGAAGTCCCTGGGTTTTCTAGAATGCTGTTTCAAATTCTAGTTAAACGTGAGGCTATAAACAGGAAAATCACCACAAGTCCAGTCTAGGAGTAAGACTCTGAACACCCTGTAGACTATTCCCTAAAATACGAAGTAAAATAAAATAAAAAGATGTGAGGGGGGCTGGGGATTTGGCTCAGCAGTAGAATGCTTGCCTAGCAAACTGGAAGCCCTGGGTTCAGTCCTTGGCACCAAAAACAAAAAATAAACCTCCCCTAAAAAACAGTTCAACAACAACAACAACAACAACAACAACAAAAAGACATGATAAGCAAAGCAGATGTTAAAATTAAAGATAAGAGTTTATACATATCTCCACATTCGTTGAGTGCCCTGGATCTTTGGTAGAACTATTTTAACATATTGTCTTGGAAGGACTGGGTCCTTTAAGGGTCAGGCACTAAATATATTTGACTGTTTTGCTCAAAAAGTTAATTTCCACTGGGTATGATGGCACATATCTATAATCTCATCTACTTACAAGGTTGAGGCAGGAGGGCCATAGTTCAAAAAATTAAAAAGGGCTGGGGCTATTCCCAGTAGAGCGCTAGCTTTGAGTAAGGTCCGGAGGTTCAGTTTCCAGTACTGGGCAAAGAAGAGAAAAAGTTAATTTCCATATTAAGGAAAGAAGAGTTGGAGCCTTAATTTTTTTTTTTTTTTGGCAGGACTGGGGGTTGAACTCAGGCCCTTGCGCTTGCCAGGGAAGTACTTATTCCACTGAGCCATCTCCCTGGCTCCTGGAGCCTTAATTTTAATGTATTTTTAGAAAGATAAGTAAAAGCCCTTATATTAAGATTTAAATACATTTTCTTTCTTTCTTTCTTTCTTTCTTTCTTTTTTTCTTTCTTTCTTTCTTTTTTTTTTGCGGAACTGGGGATTGAACTATAAA